TGGTGGCTCATGTTCATCATGTGGTCAGTCGTGACCCCCAAGTCTCTTTCAGCAGTGGTGCTAGCAAGCATAGCACTGCTGAACCTACAAGAATGCTGCCGGGGGGCGTTCCCCGAGGTGGAGTACCTTGAGGGGTGTTTGAGCGAGTATCAATGTACACATGTTGGGTGTTCACAGCCGTGTCGTTAGATTCAGTAGAGACAAGACCCAAGGACTATTTTGGACCATGCTGGAGATGGACACTCTGAAATGGAAGATCTCTGCCAGTGGCCTCCTCTTACATGACTGGGGCTCTGCCCTGGTATCTCGGCTGATTGTGGCCGACTCAAAATGACATGGGGACGTAGCAAGACTTTTTGGTGGGTGATATCTTTTATTGGACCAGCTGCTGGTTGGGATACTGAGACAAGGGTATCATAGTACCCTTCCTTGGGTGTCTCACCCAAACCTGAGGAAGGGGATCGTGATGCCCAAAAGCTTGTCCGAGTCCATCCCTTGTGTGCAATTAGTCCAATAAAAGACATCATCCACAAATGTATTGTCTCTCTCGCATCTTTCCGGGGCCATCACAACTACAAAGTCACTGCAATGCTACCAAAACATGGAGAGACTCAACCCTGCTTTCAGATAAGTAGGTCCCATGATGCTTTGACTTTAGAAGTCAAAACTCTTTCTTGGAGTGGAATAGTTACTTGGTGAGGCATGCACTGCTGGGTCATGCAACAGTTTAAATCAAAGATTGGTGTTGGCTGGGGATTGGTGCATTCTGTTTAGCCACAGTGCAAGCGCAGCTGGGGGAATGGTAGAGGCTGCTTCTGGAGGTTAGGGAGGAGTTTAGTCTGCTTGGCCCATATCACCCTTGGCATCTCAGTTGAGGCTGCCAACAAGAGGCTCCTCACTTCCCTTCTATGTGTGTTTTAGCATCATGCTGAGGTTTGGGTGGATGCTCTTAATTTACTCTGTTCCCGTTCCCTGGTTCTAAGTCCAAGGCAGACTGCGAGGGGCAGAAATGCTTGTAAATTTAATCCAAGTACCCCGCTCTGAAGTTTCCTTGGGAGTGAAAAATATGTTTGATTAAGGAAACTCCGTCTTCAGAAAGCCTATCAGCATACCTAACTTTGCACATCAGAGCTGGCTGCAGAACATCTAATTAAGTGGAACTGCTCTTTGGGGAACTGGGCTTGCAGAAAAATTAGTTTTCATGTTCCTGGCCTGATGTTTATTAAACGTGTCCTCCCTTTTTTCTTTCCTTTGCAGTTTTTATCTGTAGTTTCATGGTGGCAGCCCCTATATTTGGTTACCTTGGTGACCGTTTCAACCGAAAGATCATTCTCAGCTGTGGGATCTTCTTCTGGTCAGCCATCACCTTTTCAAGTTCCTTCATCACTGAGCAGGTACGATCTTGGCAGAACTGGGAAATGTCAGCAGAGACGTTCTGGAGAGTGTACTGAACAGGGTGGGATCCTTTTCTAAGCTTCCCTCCCCCAGCATACGTGTCCTGGGGAAGGCTCCTGACAATCATTTGATATATAACCCATTGCAGTGTTTCCCACACTTCTGGGACCTCTGTCAGATCTCAGCATGTCTCTTAGGGCGCACTCACATTCAGACTTTACCCTGAAGGCTCTGAAAGTGTGTGGAGCTTGGGGCCATAGTGGCCCACCTCTGATGAGCTTGCAGACCATAATTTGGGAACTGCATTGTGTGAGCTTTTGTGGGACAAACTAATGCTCATGGTCACATGTTTCATTAAATCCAAAGTGTGTTCTCCCCCCAGGCATATGAGTCACAAACATCCCAGGTGAATTGCAGCGCAATGTGACATTAACACCTGTGCTTTAGTTTGAGGAAAAGCTTACAGACATTGTACAAATTAAGCAATTTCGTGACTAAACAGCGACTTTCTTGTCCCCTGATGTCATAGCATAATCCGTGGTATGCGGACACTGTCTCTGTTTGCAGGACACAGGGTACACAGACTAAGTACATCAGTTTGGGCTCAGGTTTTGAATCGGTGTCCTCCATCAGTTTCCCTGATGGGTAGGGAGGGTAAGTGGGAGGGCTTGGATTGGGTATAGCTTCAGCTCCCCTTGCACCAACTAGACGATCTTGCTGGGGAATTGATGTAATCCTTCAGCTCACCTAAGTTTGGCAAGCTATATATAACATCCCTGGCTGCCTTTTGATGCATATCACCACCTTCCCTGTTTCAAGACCCTGTCAGCATGTTTGTTTTCTTGCCCGTCAAGGATACTGTCAGGCAACAATGGCCTGGCAATACGTGAGGGGGAAAAAAATCCTCACTTTAAACCATACCACACAGGAGTTTGTGGGTTGCAGGTGGCAACATTCTTGGAGACATAGTTATGCCAGTAAATAATTGTTACTGGCGTCATAGACTGATCTCCCTGGCGAGCATCAGGACTTTGTTCCTGTTCTCAGTCTAGCTGCATTCCAGAAATTGCAGTGCTGTGGTCACACCCAGAAAACAGCCAGATCCCCGCCTATACGCACCCACAGACATGCCATGTGGTTTCCAGTAAACAGTGGTTGCCATCACAGGTGGAGAGGAAGAAGTCACACCTCCAACTTCCTTACCTTCACATCCACTTGGATGGGGCTCTATGTCCAAGTGTTTAGTAATAGAAGGCCAAAGCCTTTCCCCCCTGCAGAATTGCTCTGGTTTCAGATGAGTCCTTTCAAAGCATGCTATAAATGCAATTCTGATTGATGCCAAAAAAGCTGGTAGTCCACCAGGGACAACAGCATCTGTATTAAGCCATTGTACTTTTATTGAGAGCCAGCAGGAGGAACTGACTGCACTTTGTACTTTTATGCGGTACTTACCTAAGGGTACCTAAGGTAGCCTGTAAGGTCGCGTCCAGATGAGAGAGCCCAGTTTGAGACGCTGTAAGAGGCATGCTGGGAGTGAAAATGTCACCTGTGCTGCATATTTGCAGTGCGGGCTCTAATTTTGATACCGGCAAATCCCAGTATATTAAAAAACAAAAACAAAAAAACCCCCACCCCTGGAAAAAGAGCCGCAGGCAACTGGAGGCTGGGTCCTCCAAAGAGATGCTCTGGCACCCGGCCAGAGCATCTCTATACCTGCCCTCTTCCCCTGCTGCTCCGGCATGCTGCCTCAGTGTGTTGGGGCAAATAAGACCTAGGCAAAGCTTTGGCAGTGGCTCGGACCCAGGTGCTGTCCAAGGTAAGTGGCCGTGGGAGGGGGAGGAACACAACACTGTGTGTGTGGGGGTGGAGGGACAGGGAGGTGGGAGGGCTGCTCAGGACGGTTGGGTCTCCCACCTGCCCCCCTCGCATGGCACACAGCCCCCTCCAGCACAGCGGCTATCAGAGCACTCGTGCCCGCTCCTGGCAGAGACCCCGGGTGACATGGGGCTGGCTCCAGACAGCTGCACAAAGCACTAGCCTGGTCCCTCCCAAGCACCCTTGGACAGAACCAGGCCACCTCCTGCTGTCATGCGTGGCTTTCAGTGTCACATATAGGGGCTGTGCGCCCTCAGACCTGTCTGGGTCCTGCCTCCATGTGCCCCATGCACCGTCAAGCCAGGCTGGCTCCATCCAGTCCCTGATCCCCGGTCGAGGGCTTCCCAGAAACGGCACGGGGATTGCTGGGGCCTGGGTACAGGGAGCAGAGCAGCAAGGGCTGGCACTACTCACACCCACAAAGCAGCAGGTGGGACAGCTGCAGCTGGACTCATCTCCTGGTGCTAGGATGCACCTGCTGCCGGGAGGAAGCTAGTGGGGGCAGGCAGGGGTTGCGGGTCAGGAGTGAGGGGCAAAGGCAGGAACAGGGCACTGGCATATCAGTGCTGCTCAGTGCCCCACATCCTGGTAAGCAAAAGGGGATAGGGGCAGCTCTGATTTTTTTTTTCTATGATAAAAAAACCAAAAGCAGTTTAAAGCCGGCCAGCACAAGGAGTACATCTTCTGGGTGATAGCTGCCCAGATGGCAGAGCGGGGACACCAGAAGACATGACAGCAGTGCTACCCGAAGGCCAACTGTGCAGCCATGGTCCACTAGCAGCTGGCCTAGAGGTGCAGGCAGCTCCGTTGCAGTGCCTGTACCAGAGCCCAGGTGGCTGTTTGGCCCTCTTCTGGGTCTGGCAGGCGTGCGGACGTGGGATTACAGGTCTAAGGGGGCAGATGCTGTCACAGGTGGCAACAGGTCACAGCCAGGCAGCAGCCCCCACTGCCAGACTGATGCAGCGGGTAGAGGGTGCAGGGACCTCTCTAGGTTAGGGCTGCTTCAGCAGTCCAGCTGGCACAAGGGACTAATATCCCCAGGTACCAACTGGCTGGGTCTCAGAAGCTCCTGACGGCAAGTAATCCTGAGCTGCTCACCAGGACAGCTTTTTGTACTGCTAGGGCCAGCAAATGCTGGCCACAGTGTCTAGCTCCCCCTGGCTGAAGATCTGAGAGGAGCTGGGCAGGGTCAGTTTGCCCCAAGTGGCACAATTTGCCCCCCACCAAAGTGCATGTTCAGGTACATGTGGTGAGGCACAAACCTCCGGCACAAATTTGTGCTGCTGCTATTTGAGCTGCTGCAAGTGCACATGCCCTGCATGTGTGGACGCACCCTAAGAGGATAAGTATGAGCCCTAAGGCCAGGATATATTTAAACTCTGCACACCAGGGCTTTTGTTGTTGCTGCTGGAAGTTGTAGGGGTAGGAGAGCTATAACTGAAATACCCTGAGCTGTTTAGTTTCCTTTTGCATTTTAGTTGCTCTTAGCTCTGAGCCACATACGAACCCTGGATCCAGGTATTCTGTACTCCACCTCTGCAACTATATGTCTACCAGACAGTCAGAAGACAAAGAGTTACTTAGGTACTTCATTGTCATTTATCCAGAGCTAAAGGTATGTTTGCTTGGGGAGGCAGGGAGGAAGGTGTTCGTTTTATTTGAGTATTAATTAACATTTGATAGATATGCTTGGTTTTATAAATACAGATGGAGTCAGTAATTTCATGTCATTAAATAAAATCACCTGAAATAAGGTGTCTTGGATGGTGAAAAAGGCCTGCTTTGTCCTATAGCACTCTGTTAAAGAGAGAAAAAATTAATGATATTGGAGCACAATGTTTCTCTAAACCAAGAAACAAGAAAGCTCTTTTCTAATGATTGTCCTTGTGTGCCTGATAGTTGCATAGCTATGAGTTGTAAAAATGTTACGTTGTTCTCAAACCCAAAGTTATTCATAGAGGTCATTGACCTTACATTTTGTCCATTATTGTAGGATATGGGTACATATTCAGACAAGCATCTGGATTGAATCCACTTGGACATGCCCAGAATGAAGTCAGCATGTGCCTATCTGTGTCTGCACTTTGTAGGTACAAACACCTGCTAACGCTTCTACTTCATACTTGCCCTTTAGTAGCCTTACACAAATCCCTTTGGGGGGTTTTGGATTTGTTTTGATAGTGTTTGGGGAAAACCCTTCTATCAGTTCAGACTCAGCACTAAAATGACAAGATGAGCCTCAAGGTGCGAGTGAACTGTGTTGTGGTACAAAGGCAAGCATTTTACACAGGTGGTTACTAAACTCAAAGGAACTCCTTTATCAAACACATCTCCAGCAACTATATTTTCATCTACATGAAGAGCTAAATAGTTGTCTGATTTCCTACCCCTCCCCACCCTCCCTGGCCGCTCCCTCCATTCCTTGCCTGCAACTGCAGCCTCTCATGAATAACTCTTCAACCTCCTATCTGGGTAGCATTTTGATTAATCAAATTTTGGTTGCCCTATATCTTGGTTGATCATGGAATCCTAAAAAAATAGGGTTGGAAGGGATCTCAGGTGGTCATCCAGTCCAATCACCTGCTCAAAGCAGGACCATCCCCAAATAAATCATTGCAGCCAAGGCTTTGTCTAGCCGAGTCTTGAAAACCTCCATGGGCGGAGAGCCAGCAACTTCTCCAGGTAACCTATTCCAGTGCTTTAATACGCTCCTTGTGAGAGAGTTTTTCCTAATATCTAACCTAAACTTCCCTTGCTGCAACTTGAGACCATTGCTCCTTGTTCTGTCATCTGCCACCACTGAGAACAGTCCAGCTCCATCCTATTTTGAATCCCCTGTCAGGTAGCTGAAGGCTGCTATTAAATCCCCCTCAGTCTTCTCTTCTCCAGACTAAATAAGCCCAGCTGGAGCTCTGAGCAGTCATACAGCTCTTTTACATGAAGAACAACTCTTCCTTCTCTTCTCCCCTGCCTGCCCTTCCTGAACAGTTTATATCCATCCGTGACAGTGCTGCAGTCATGCGAGCCATGCCACCAAGTCTCTGTTATTCCAATGGCATCATAGTTCTATGAGCGGATAAGTCGGTGATCACTGCGGCAATCATCAGCTCCCACCATAGCCCAG